AACAAATATGTGCAACAATTAGATTTTTTTTTTTTTCGCCCAAGGGAAGTTGCCAGGATAGAAATATGGTGGCTGCCATCTATGACTTGCTTTTAAAAAAGGTGCTCTGCTCAACTGAAGAGAAACGACTCTTGAAGAATTTTTGGAATCCAACACTTTGAGAAGCAGCAACATATATAAATAACCGGGTCAGTTTTTCTTTTGTGGTCACACTGTTTTGATAAAACTGTTGTTCCATTACAAGAACAGAACATTCCATACTTTAATGGTACCAGAATGAAACTTCATAAAATTCAAATATTTCTATTACACATTAATAAAACACTATTAAAACAGCATTTGTACGTATGTAATATTATTATTATACAGGATTATATATCCAACCTGTCCGGATTTCTCTGACTGCTTTTAGGCGATCCCTTAAGACTCATCTTTTCAGGGAAGCCTATCCCACCTCAACCTAACCGCTGAACCATCACGTTCTCAGACAATTCATCCCCACATAGCTACCTCCTCATGTATCACTTGCCCCTCCCTTTTAAAATTGTGGGCCCTCCTTACCATCTTGTCTTGAATTGTATTGTGATTGTAATGTCTTCCTTATATTGTAAAGCGCTGCGCAAACTGTTGGCGCTATATAAATCCTGTATAATAATATAGCGCCAACAGTTTGCACAGCACTTTACAATATAAGAGACATTACAGTTACAATACAAGTCAAAACGAGATAAGGAGGGCCCTGAGCACGAGAGCTTACAATTAAAAGAGGGTGGTAGTTGTGCAGGGATGAATTGTTTGAGAAAAGGGAAGCCTATCCCACCTCAACCTAACCGCTGAACCATCACGTTCTCAGACAATTCATCCCCACATAGCTACCTCCTCATGTATCACTTGCCCCTCCCTTTTAAAATTGTGGGCCCTCCTTACCATCTTGTCTTGAATTGTATTGTGATTGTAATGTCTTCCTTATATTGTAAAGCGCTGCGCAAACTGTTGGCGCTATATAAATCCTGTATAATAATATAGCGCCAACAGTTTGCACAGCACTTTACAATATAAGAGACATTACAGTTACAATACAAGTCAAAACGAGATAAGGAGGGCCCTGAGCACGAGAGCTTACAATTAAAAGAGGGTGGTAGTTGTGCAGGGATGAATTGTTTGAGAAAGTGATAATTCAGTACTTAGGTTGAGGTGGGATAGGCATCCCTGAAGAAATGAGACTTGAGGATCGCCTAAAAGGCAGACAGGAGCAGGACATAGTCAGTCAGATGGAGTAGGGAGCTCCAAAAGGATGGGAAAGATATGCTCACAGTTTCTCTTCTAGGGGTCTCTGGGGGCTAACCTCTATCTAACAGTTACCCAGCTATATAACAATAGACAAGACATTCACAATATGTACTACTTTACATTAAATAGGTATAATTAGATCTTGTTTTACAACAATTGCTGGTATTTCCAGTAAGATGAGGACAACTCAACGTGTTTCACAGGACACCACCTCATCTGCTTCCATCAGGAGGCATCAGGAGGAACGTATTTAAAATAGTATCTTATTATACGTGTTAAACTCTGATCAACAAATACCCCAGATGTAATCATGGACCCTAATTTTTGTGGCTGTAAGGGGCAAACAAGAGAAACCAAATATTCCCCATACTGTAGTACATCTCAAAGTTGAATCTCCTCTCTTTAGTAAACACAAACATCAAAGTCCAAATGTATATAAAGTGATTTTTCAAATGTAGACAGCTGACAGGTACCTCTATGATATTATGGAGCAGCAACCTGGAACAATGGAACTTCCAGATCCTATGTCCTAGCCTACATCAAGGCTCCAAGGTGTTTGTACCAACAAGAAGTTGTTCCACAAAAGTTTTCAGCCTGCAGCAGATGTAGTCTATGATCTATGCAAGACAATATGCTGATTTTCTGACTTTGGACAAACGAGCCATTATTCATATTGTGTTTGTGTCCAACTGCAACCATTACTCTACAGTACAGTAAGCCTGGACATCTGCTTTAAAATTATTTAAACCCCAATAAATATAGCTGCATCTGATTTATTTTTGGCTTTCTGGCTCAGAAAAGGCTGATAATATTCAAATCTCTTAGTACATTCACCACATTGCGTGATGCGTCAATGTACATTGTGTTGCCTGTGCTCATTCATTTCTTGTGCTATATGTTATACTCAATGCGTATTCACACAGCAAACAGCACAAATTACCCTTTTTTTCACCTTCCCAACACACTGCCACCCATGTGTTTACTGGTATATGCATTGGGGTACAGGTGCATTAAGGGCCAGGTGCAACGTTCAGTGTGTGGATGCATGATGGCAGCTTGTTTAAGAACAGTTGCATCCAAAAAACACATGCATACATGTCCAATACATGTTTGAAAGCACCTTTATGTAGCCAAAAATTTGAGAGAACGGTGTCTTGTTAAAATTGGATTGTCATTGGGTGGAAAGAAAATTGAGACCCCTAAATAAACATTGTTCAAAGTTCAGCCAATTAAATCGCATTATGTCAAGCCACCATTATATATTCTCGATGTAGCAGATTGGGCCCGTGTTGAGTGGCTATTTTTGCATCAGAATTGCTTCTCCCCTCTTAAAAGCCAATGGGAATGCAAAAGCAACTTGAAGCAGGATAATGCAGTTTAAAAGTAGGTCAACTGAAGGTCAAATGTACCAGGCAACGAATGCCAAATGAACTCAGAAGTATCTCAAACTGAGGTCATATGCCAGCGAATGCTGCATTTGCCCATCGACTAATCCAAGCACTAGACATCAGTCCTTCAGGATATTCTGGTAACCCGTGAATACGAGGCTGCAAACCTCAAATGTAAGCTTATTTTTGTATACTCTAGTCGTAGAATCTGGTTACTTTAGAGAGTAAGAAAAAAAGTGCAGACATACACATACACACACACTGTTCCCCATGATTGATTGGAAATTGCCTCCAAAATTCTGCAGTTTACAGATATCTGTATTATGGGATTAGGCAAATGGATTCCACATACTGCTTACAATATGGAAGTGTAATAGAGCAATATTTCCCGATAACAGAATAATGCAATGTTGCGCCTCACCAACCCGTTCGACAGCTCGAGATTAACCCATTATTTAATCCCAACAAGTAAACAACTTAATCAAGGCCCAGATGAGCTACTTAAACTTTAATTGGCTTTCTTCATTATTACTATACCATTAAACACTGCGATTGCTAAATAATATTGCTAGGGAGAGATGGCAACTATCTTAGATATAGTGGTATATCACACTGTTAAGTCTGATCACATTTGACCATTTCAGATTCAAAGGACAACTAAACATTTTTAAAGTACATATGAGAGATGTGAAAAGTTGTGGCGGTATAAAGGGGACATGCCATGGAATTTGAAATCTTCACTAAGTTTCTGAATTGTTATTATGATCAATGAAAAAAAAAACTCCTTTAAAACCTCTTGTATCTAGAAAAGCTAGACGTAGAAGAATGATGGCAGTCAGTTCATTGAAAATAAATTAATGATTAAATGGCCAACTGAATAAAAGGAAATGTAGGTGCCCTCTTAGTTGAATGTGAAGGCTTGATTACACAAGTACCAAAAGATACCTGTTGATCTGCCAGAAATCCAGTGTGCTCCTAACTTCCTGTTTGAGTTGACAACAACATGCTTCACTTCAGCCCTGCCTGCTGGACTACAGAACTCTGCCTATCCCTGCCCACTCTCTGCGTTACTCAGCATGCATAGGTTGTTTTTTTTCCCCCAGCAAAACAATGCTGCTGGTGGATGTTGATTGTACAAATTGTGAATTATTTGTACACTTCGCGGTGTGAGCAAGCCAACAAGTGCTTTAATGTCCAGAGAAGTGCATAAAAAGACAAAAAAAGCATACACGAGTATCTGCCCACCAAAACTCAGACCAAGCAAGGAAGGCATTAATCAGAGAGGCAAGAAAGAGAACAAAGATAATCCTGAGGAAGCTGCACAGAGGAGATCGGAGTATCTGTTCAGAAGACCACTTTAAGCCGCACACTCCACAGAGTGCCAGGAGAAAGCCCCTTCTCTCTAGAAAGAATATGGCAGCACGGCTTAGGATTGCAAAGTTGCACCTGAACAAACCACAAGACCTCTGGAATAATGTTCTTTGGAGAGAGGAGACCAAAGTGGAGATGGTTGGCCATAATGTACAGCACCACTTTTGGCAAAAATTAAACACGGCGCATCAGCACAAACACCTCTAACCAACTGTTAAGCACATTGATGGAGGGGTGATGAATTAGGCTTGTTCTACAGCAGTGACGTGCATTGCGTTCCGTGCTGGGTGAGGCATTCCCCCCTGCCAGCCCCAGCCCTCTGATGCCCCACACCCCAACCCGGTCACCAAGCTATGTGTGGAGGAGGGAGGGAGACGGGAGGAGCCTCCCTGTCCCTCACTTGCTCGTCACTGCTGAGGCATCAAGAGCTCAAGCCTCCAACACAAAGTAGAGGCTGTTGAAGCTCTGGACTCACTATGTTAGGTTACACAAGCAGTGGGGAAGCCCACGGCTGTGTAACCTAACTTAACTGTCCAAAGCTAGATGCCGCGCCGCCTGTAA